AGCTTACTCGATTGCAGTTTCACAGCACATAATCGAGAGTTAAGAAAAGTGAATCGTGTCAATTCTCGCGTGATAAATTTCATGGGAGAAAGGAAGGGGCGCGCGGGTAACTGATGAGAAGAAAGTCGATGGGAGGAGGGGGTGAGTCGGTCATTCATTTAAGAATTTTGTCTCGTTAGTCAAATCATGTTCACCTCGTTGGCCCCGCGCTGGTTGATACAATTAATTAAGCAGTCTGTCGGTGTTGCAGCCTTCGCGGAAATTTGATTAGAAGCGACAGAGAAAGCGATTCTGTCTTCTTTCCTCTTTAGCGGGCCTCGTTTTTTCCGGATATCGGTGTCCATTAACGCGACGATTAGTCGGAGGATACTTTTTAACTCGTCTCTCTTGTTTAAGACTCTTGTTTAAGCTCTGTTCGAGGGGAAGTGATTAAATGAATTCTCATTTAACTTCACGATTTATTGATGCCTCTGTTTTGAATTTTTGTATATAATTGAATTTAATATATTTTTATGTAGACAGCCTTTTTCGAAAGTGTACGAAAGCTTTTATTAAATTCTCAATCATTTTTACTAAGTATTCTTTTATTCTTTTTTACTAAATCATTAAATTAAATTCCTCTTTTACTAGTAATCGAGATAGATTTTCCAGAACGAAGAAAGTTTTTTTATATTTCTCCGAGGACGTAGAAATCGAATTAATCGGCAATAAAAAAAAAACACAAAATGCTTCAATGCTCCATAACAAAGAATTACAAAAAGTTCTACATCTCAATTTTAATAATTGTGTGAAAAAATTCTTTTTGAACTATTTGCACAAATTTTCTACGGAAAATGAAACTAGTTTTATTTCTTGGTTAATTAATGGTTCGATGCTTAAGAGAAGGAATTCTGTTTCTTATTTTTCGACACATCGCGAAGAGTGTTCCTCCCCTCATTTTGATCAACTCCGACACACCTTTTTAAGCCTGCTCGTTTTAACTTGACTGGCCACATAGTTGCGATTCTTCTCGCGAGCGAGCGAACGATCGGCTGGCGCAAATCGCGGAACAATAAAAACTAATCGCTGCAAAATTAACAATTTGTCCCGCATCGGAACACCGAAGATACTGTGCATCCTAAACGCCGACAAAAGAAAGATCGATTAAATCTTTCCCGTATAAACCGTATAAATTTTTATTAACCTCTGATTTTGATCGGAATTTGATTTGCTCGCTGCTCGTTTTACTTCGATCTGAAATCCCAAAACTGTTAGTAAGCAATTTACGCAATTAATGGATTTTTATGTATTCAAAGTGATATAAAATATATAGTCCGTGTACAAAATGTTGTAAGTTCATTTTCTTTTGTTTTGAGATATTGAAGTGTTTGCATTTGCACCGACTATGTAATTGTAATTCCATTCAGTCAACGAAAATTCAATTGATTAAAACAAACGAATATTTTAAATTATAAATTGTTTATAAGTAAACAGTTCACATCGGAGTATATCTATGTTAATTTTTTCTTTCACACCACTTTCAAAATAAACGATCCATTTAATTTTCAACGAATAAAGAACTTGCACCTCCTGCGGAATAAGATCTCAAAAAAAATTATAAGTAACGATTTTGAAATTTTAAAATTTAGAAAAACAACAGTGATATTATCACACTTTTATACTTTATAATTTATAGAGTTG